TGTAAATATAAACAGAGAGCTTGGCGTCGGCCGCGAGCGCCATCTGCGAGAGCCATTCGGCGACCTCGTTTTTCAACACCAGCGGTCGATCCGGAGACCGTCAGAGGTCGCGATCCATTCTGGGGAATTAAAAACTTCCAGGGCTGCTCTTTCGCGGGATCAAAAAATGATCCAGATTTAAATGACCCTCTGCTATGATTGGTCAAATCTGAAATTTCATAGCGTCACATTAAAATTTTATTCAATGAAATTATATAAAGCCTTGTGTCCACGTTCCAAAAACTGTGTCCAAGTTCTAGTTCCAAGAAAGGCGTAGCCAATCAACCTGCATCTTTTGCAGGAAAGCTGCAGGTTGATTGGCTATTTCCATTTCTTGGAACCAGAACTGTGTCCAAGTTCCATAAAAGATACGGAAAGATATGGAAAATGTGCAAGTAAAATTCCAAACGCAAGAGAATTATTGAAGAGTCAAGATGCATTATCAACTTCGTGAAAGGGCGAGAAATCAGAGTCTCTCTTGTACGTGAGTTTTTTTTTTTAGTGCTAGGCTATATTAGTTTATCTTTTCAGTTGACTGCGGATATGGAAAATGTGCGGATAAAATTCCAAACGCAAGAGAATCATTGGAGAGTCAAGATGCATTATGTGCATCGTGCATAAAGTGGAACGCACTTGTAAACGACTCACGTCGGGCGGGCGGGAAATTCGAGATGGATTCAGCACGAGGCTGCCTCCTTTCGGCCTATGTTCGCCCGATACCTTCCAGGCCTTCCACGAATCCCCGAAAGGTGAGAGGTGACGCCTCTCCAATTCTCGTTTAGCTTTCTTATCAAATCGAACAGAGAAAGAGCGTCCTTGATGTCCAACGCACCAATTAATTTTTAAATTGCAGTCCCTGTAAAAGTGGCGTCTTAAAATTGTAAATAAAAGTCCACTCGAGAACTGTCCAGCCTGCCGTTCGTCTACCAAGTTTCTGAAACTGTTTCCGAGGTCTGTATACCTTTGTGAGACGCTGCTGCTTTCGAAAGAAAAACATTTTCCGAGGTATGTTTCGTACAGCAAAAATCGATACATCAACGATTTTTATATACAACTTTCTTAACGATAAAAGCCAATAGTCCCGAAATGTAAACGTTGATCGAATTGTACACTTGCAGACCTGATCACGCAATATAGCTTTTCTTATGTTAATAAACGTTAATTATGCTATGTATCGTTATCATTTTTATCTTGTTAAAGGGACCCGAAAACGAAACATGTCTCAAAGGAGCCGTAAAGTCATCTTCCTGACAACGCAATAAAATCTATCAAGAATTGATAAAACACATCAAGAGTCGTGCTACTTGTCGAGCGCACCGCCTGAAGTCTAATCTACAATGTGTTTTTCGCAACGAGAAACATTCTTTCTTATACAGGCAAATCGATGTGCTTAAAAAGTTCGTCGACAATGCACGATTGTGCAATGTATTAAAAAAATTTTAACGTGTTTATTGGCTATAAAATAAAATATGTTTCTAGACGCAAACGAACACACTGTAGATCGGGCTTGATTAAAGCGCGTCAACATTCTTATTTGCTCGACGTATCGTTTATATTACGTGTCGTATATTTATCGAACGTATCGCATCTAGCGCGCAGCGCGGATGCAAGAAGCTTACATAAGATACTTCCAGACATTTAGTCTATAAGTACTCCCCATGATCTTAGCGGCTCTTTGTCACACACTAATTCCTCGGATCTATTTCTGTAATAACTGCCGTAAGAAGAGCATCTATGCGAGCGTGTGTGTGCGCGAGCCGCGTGTACGTACACGCAACGTGCCCAAGAGCGTATATCTGTAAGTCCGCAACCACGTGCTACTCGAAGTAGTCTGAGATGGTTGGAGGCCGCCGGAGGTAGCGTGAGACGAAAAACTGATAGGCACTTTCGCGGCCAATGTCGAGGCATGGACTCCGCCAAGAAATACGAAAATCCGAACCCACGGGCGTCTGCGAATCAGATCAGTAAATTGTTCTTCTGGTGAGTCGCCTCGCTGCGTCGCAGTTGAATCGATTGGGATATGAGTGTACCACGCGTTTCAACGAATACTATTCGTGTCGCTCGTCTTTGGCTGCATCCACATAATTAATGCTGCAATAAGTGTCTCGAAGCGTTCTTCTCCTTCCCTTTAATAAAAAAAAGAGTGGCAGAACGTTTTGGAGCATTAAGTGATTTTTTAATTGATGACTTGCAAAAAATCGCATGTGATTGGCGATCGAGCTCTTCGAGTCAACTCTTCGACTCGTGGCTCAAGTTTCAGGCTCAGCATAACATCAGGTGCATTTCGTTTCACGCATGATGTATCATTTATCCTTGTTGTTCAACAAGTGCTGAGTGAGAGACGCATTCCACATGAGGCGTGATAAATGATGCATCGTGCGAAATGCACCTCTTATTTAACATTTAACATTTGTGTGAATAACAGATTTAAATGATATGCATTGTGTGCAACGTCCCGCTTACGCTAAAATCATGAATGTGCAAATTTTCACAAAATAATTAAATTACTAGTTTACTGTTTTCACCATTTATATATTCATGGTTACGGCGTAAAACGGACGAGATTGCGGGAGGTGATGACATTAGATAACAATGTTACGTTAGTAAAATAGGGATAGATCTGTGACCTATGAAACAATATATTATATCTATGTTGTCTTATCTATGTTAAAACAGACCCTCTTTAAAGTAATTGCTGATAACAGTTGTGCTAAGTAACTGCGTATTCTCCATATCTTATTGTGATATAAACACGCGTCCACACGTGACTGATCTCCTTCGCAAGGTCGTATCTCGTTTTTACACAATTTTTGGTTTTTCTGTTTAAACGCTCATTCTCGCTCTAAACCAGCGTTTAAGCAGAAACACCGAAACCGCGTGAAATCGAGATACGACCTTGAGCGAAAGAGATCAGTCGATATGTACAGTGAGCTTGATTCTCAAGGCATAGTGTGATATCCTGGATTGTGTGTCATATATCAGCATGACAGACAATCAACTCAGCAAACACAGAACATTGCAACATAATTACGGCAATGATGTAACATTGTAACATTACAGCCATATTGCAACATTGCAATGTTCTGTGTTTGCTGGAAATATATGTATTTGCACTTCCTGGTTTCACTTTAATCTTAGCTTAATTCATTCTTTATCTCTTTCTAAGGGGACAGTTAGAAAGGGATGAAGGGTGAATTTAAGCTAAGCGTTGGAGAAACCGGGTCTAATATCGCTTACAGCACGCTTTAGCAGAACATAAGTAAACTTGTAAAGTTTTATCGTAAAAACAGATGTCAATCTCATAAAAGCACATGCGTTCCCGTGTGCGAACACGCTACATGACTTCCCATTGTTATAGGTGGATGGCGAGAATATTCTGGCATGGGAAGGACTTGGAAATGAAAGATGTGTACAATGTTATGCCATCTGACGACAGTGAACTTTTGGGAGACATACTGGAAGAGTAAATGATTTCATTCTTAGGACAAATTTGTAGATCAGGATCATATCGATGATCAGCATAGCGTTAATAGATCATTGATGATGTTACCGTCGCTTTTCTAACATATAGTTACTTTCAGGAATTGGAAAAATGAAGTGCACGCGGCCAAGAAGGACGGTAGGAGACCCAAGTTTTTCACAGCTTTGAGGAAGACGTTTATATGGTCATGTGGTTACTACGGTGGATGGGTTTTATTGTTTACATCTGTTTTGAAGTAAATAGATATTGCAACGATTAGATGTTACATTAGCGCTGAAAGCGTCGTTCCATCCTTGTTGCTCATTATGCATCAACGAAAGATAGATGACATTTTCAGCGTTAATAGCGAGCTACGCGAACGTACCCTATGATACACGTACTCTTAAAAATATGATTTACAGAGTTGCGCAAGTATACATTTTTGGCTTATTTGTTTTGACCTTCCATCCGAGAGCAACGTTTGTCCAAGAGACGGCATATCTTCATGCATCTGGTATGATCTTGGTAACAATATTGATGACGATAATCTATCATCATTCGAATCTAGGCTTAATGGAAATTGGAATGCGAGTGAGAATAGCAAGCTCCTCCTTAATGTACAGGAAGGTATGTGGCTGCTTATTCTAAAAGTCCTACGTACGTCCATTAAGATGATCTTTTTGATGATCTCACAGACGTCTCTTTAATTAGTTTTCTCCTTAGATATTACGCTTATCCAGTTCTACCACCACCACTCCAGGACAAATAGTTAATCTGTTGTCAAACGACATGTCAAAATTCGAACAAGTGTTTGTATATTTACACTACTTCTGGGTCATGCCTATACAAGGAGTCGTCATTGCGCTTCTGATATGGCAAAACGTCGGCGTCGCATCGCTGGCCGGTGTACTTCTCATGATAATTCAAACTATTCCTCTACAAGGTAGCACACACACGCGCGCGCGCACACACACACACACACACATATGGTTGTCGCAAACGTACACGTATTTGACGACTAAGTTACTCGCTTCACTCATACTTTGCAGGATACGTAAGTAGATGGACCTCGAAGTTGCGTTCGAAAATCGCAGTGAGAACCGACGAGAGAGTTCGCTTGATGTCCGAAATAATCAGGGGCATACAAGTTATTAAGATGTACACCTGGGAGAAACCATTTGAGGAACTGGTTAATCTCGCAAGAAAGTTCGTACTTCTGGTCTCATTGTTATCGTCAAGAGATTTAATGTAATAAGCGCATTATTTTTTTGCCTAGATACGAGATCGATGTTCTCACGCTGATATCGTATTTGAGAGGTTTTACCTTTGCCACACATGTGTTCACGGAAAGAACGACGTTGTATTTTACAATTATGGCCTACGTACTTTACGGGTATTCTGTGTCCGCCGAAGTAGTTTTTTCTATGGCACAGTATTTTAATGCTCTTCAACTTACTATGGCGATACTTTATCCCATGGCCGTAGCAAGTGCCGCCGAGGCATCAGTTTCCGTAAAGAGAATTGAGGTGAGACTTACTAAAAATAAACCTAAAGTTAAAAAGGTCAGACATTGTGAATCAGTTATCGATTGCACGTGTTACATAATCATTTTATCAATTGAGATATCATCTACCGAGATATCTTAACGTCTCAAGACATTAAAATGATGACCTACAGCAATGTATTAATAATACAATAGATAAAAGTCGTCAAATATTTATCATGATATAATAGACGAATCACACTAATTAGCTGGTATATTTTGGATAGGACTTTCTGTTATTGAACGAGAATGTTCCACTGCCAGAGTCTTCATTAATAACCGCCAAAGAGACGAGCATTTCAATGAAAAACGTTAGTGCTTCATGGACAACCGCTGCAATTGTAAATACGTTACATAATATCAACATTCAATTTCAAGAGAAGAAATTTTACGCCATCGTTGGTCCTGTGGGCGCAGGAAAGGTACTTTCTCTATCGAGGGTTTTGCGTCTAATATTTTACGCAAAGAGAATACTTTATATTACCCGATCTTTATATTAAAATGTCTTTACGTGTAACTTTCAGAGTTCTTTACTACAAGCGATTTTAGGCGAACTAAAATCGTCACAAGGCCAAATACACATACATGGCAAGATATCGTATGCTAGTCAGGATCCATGGCTGTTCGCGGGCACAGTGCAGGACAATATTCTGTTTGGCCAGTCTTACGATAAAGATAGATATCAGAATATTGTAAACGTTTGCGCGCTTACGAAAGATTTCGAACAACTTCCATATGGCGATAAGACCTTAGTCGGCGATAGAGGTGCAGCACTCAGTGGTGGACAGCGCGCAAGAATTAGTTTGGCGAGGTAAAGTCGCATCCACTTGCCAAGTTGCACACTTTTCTAATACAATTTGTTGTTCACAGAGCTGTCTACAGAGATGCCGATATTTATCTTTTCGATGACCCTTTATCAGCTGTCGACACTCATGTTGGCCGGCAATTATTCGACAAGTGCATGAATAATTACTTGCAAAACAAAACAAGAATTCTTGTGACTCACCAGTTGCAGTACTTAAAACAATGCGACTACGTCGTTATTCTAAATAACGTATGTAAAATATTACATATGCATATATGCATACAATCGTACAATTTATGAATACATTTGTACATTATTATAAGTATGTTATACGTTATTTTATAAGTACATAAATCCAATTACGTGGATTTTCTTTTTCGTAAAGGGTCAAATTGAAGATAACGACACATTTGCGGCCCTTCAAGAAAAACGTGTGACCTTTTTGGAAATATTAAAAAGAAACGAAGAAGCTAACGAAAAGACGAAAGAACCATTAAAAATTGATGCAAGTCCTACATCTGACATAAAAATTACAAACGGCACCGCCAACGATGAAGACACAGAGAAAGCCGAGCCCAAAGAAACCGAAGAGCTTCTGGCCAAGGGAAATATATCGAAATCGCTTTACTGGAAATATTTTCGCAGCGGTAGTTCGCTCATCGTGATTGCTAGCTTTCTGTTCTGCATGATTCTGGGACAAATCGGAAGCAACGGTTGCGAATATTGGGTCGGTTACTGGTAAGTCTCTACGAGGAAGAACCTGTTTCCAAATGTAATAAACTTTATGACGCAGGACGACACAGGAAGAGATGCGTATCAAAGCTATGCGCGAACGGCAGTATAGCACAGCAAACAACTTTACAATGCCCTCCTCCACGCCGAAATCTATTGGACAAATGGAAAATACGTCAGATATTAATAACGAGTCCGCTGAATTTTTAACGACCAACTATTATGGAGATGTAGCTAATAATAATACATGGTCACAAAATTTTACTTTCAATAACAGTTAGTATCTCCTATTTTTCTATAATATATCTAATGTTTCAACTGCATCGAAAATTTCTTGTCACTTCACTTTAAATTAAAATTAGATCAAACTTGTAGATACGGACGTGTACTATCTCGACACGGACACGGCTTTATGGATTTATGGGGGCTTCATCATTGTCAGCGTTGTGATGTTAACGATGCGAAATATAATGTTCTTTAAGATATGTATGAACGCCGGCAAGAATTTGCATAACTTCATGTTCTCGTGCGTACTTAAAGCGCCAATATCATTCTTTGATAACAACTCATCCGGTGAGTAGTTTGATTAGTGATACATGACGTAACGAGATACGAATATATAAGACTTTTATTTCCTCAGGCCGAATTTTAAATCGATTTTCGAAGGATGTTGGCGCAGTGGATGAAGTGTTGCCCCTCACTATGGCAATGGCCATTCAAATCTTTGCGGTGATGATTGGAATTCTAGTACAAGTGCTTATTATCAACTGGTGGCTCATCTTCGCTGTAATCATTATGATTCTTTTATTCGAAATGATAAGAAGGATTTACCTTCCAGTGGCGCAAACCACGAAACGATTAGAAGGAATCGGTAAATTAAGCTTTCCTTCTCCAGATAATTTATCGGCTACCTCCCATACTCGAAATCAATCGTTTATTTAAATCTTCAGCGAAGAGCCCCGTCTTCTCGCACGTAAACTCCACACTGTCGGGCTTGACGACGATACGTTCTACCAGTGCCCAGGAGATGGTTCGCAAGCAATTCGATGAACATCAAGATTTACACACTAGCGCTTACTCGCTGATTCTCACAGCTAGTACAGCGTTCGGTTTTGCGCTGGACGTGGTGTCCATCGGATTCATTGCCGTCGTTACATACAGTTTTGTCGCACTAAACAATGGTAAATCTTTGTTACACCTGCCAGAGGCAAAGAGCGCGTCCATGATAAAATGTCTACAGATCTTTGCTTTCGCCAGGAAACATTTTCGCCGGAAATGTGGGTCTCGCGATCTCGCAAGCGCTCATTTTGTGCAATATGGTGCAGCACGGGCTGCGTCAAGCCGCCGAGACGATCACGCAGATGACGAGCGTAGAGAGAATAATGCAATTCACCGAGCTCGAGAAAGAAGGCCCGTTCGAGAGCAATCCCACGGACAAACCGTCGAGCAACTGGCCCTCTAAAGGGGAAATCCAGTTCGACCGTGTTTATCTTCGATACTCCGAGTCTGAGCCACCCGTTCTCAAGTCCCTAAGTTTCATCATTGAGCCTGGCGCGAAAGTAATTACCATCGCGTTTGTTGTACAAATGAAAAACCTATTCGTAATCCTAAGTCATTCGAAATAATTACAAAATTCTAACTTATCCAAAATCTTACGATGTGATTCTTCAGATCGGAATCGTGGGTCGTACCGGAGCCGGCAAGTCGTCCCTGATCTCCGCCTTGTTTCACATGGCGAAATTCGACGGCACTATCCGCATCGACAACGTTGACACGAACAAGATCGGTCTTCACGACCTACGGAACAAAATTTCCATAATACCGCAGGAACCGGTGTTGTTCTCCGCTACGCTTCGAGATAATCTCGATCCCTTCTACAAGTTCGCGGATGCCGATCTGTGGAGCGTCTTGGAGGAGGTCAATTTGAAACACATGGTGGACTCGTTGGACCATCGCGTTGAGCGCGGCGGCGGAAACTTCAGCGTCGGGCAGCGACAGCTGGTTTGTCTCGCGCGCGCGATTTTGAGAAACAATAGAATACTCGTTCTCGACGAAGCCACTGCCAATGTGGATCTTACGACAGACGCGCTCATACAAGCCACGATCCGGAAGAAGTTCGAGACCTGTACGGTGTTGACGATAGCGCACAGGTTGAACACGATAATGGATAGCGACAAAGTACTGGTAATGGACGAAGGTCGAGTGTTGGAATTCGATCATCCGCACATCTTGTTGCAAAACGACCAAGGCCACTTCGACAGCATGGTGCGAGAAACCGGGAAAGCGATGGCCGAACAACTTAAACAATCCGCCAAAGAGGTAAATCCATTGCAGTGTTACATGATGATGGAGCAAAGAGAAATTGAAAAGATATTCATGTCCGATTTCGTTTCGCTTACAGGCTTATGAGCAACAGCACGGATTGACATGAAAATATACTCTACCAACGTCTGTGTTAACAAAAGAACAAATTTACTTAATTTTAGTTCAACGTCTCAATTTTCTATTTTAGCTTTAATATTTCCACAAAGGTCATACGTTTTTCTTGAAGGGTCGCAAATATGCCATTATCTTATCTTTCATTATCTTACAGGCTTATGAGCAACAGCACGGATTGACATGAAAATATACCCTACCAACGTCTGTGTTAACAAAAGAACAAATTTACTTAATTTTAGTTCAACGTCTTAATTTTCTATTTTAGCTTTAATATTTCCACAAAGGTCATACGTTTTTCTTGAAGGGTCGCAAATATGCCATTATCTTCAATTTGACTCTTTTCGAACAAAAAATTGTAATTAAATTTATGTACTTATAAAATAATGTATAACATATTTGTAATACTTTTAGTGAGAACTCACAAGGCGAGTCAGTACTGAAAGTCATTTTAAATAATTTGTACTTATTTTTCAGCAACGTTTGTTGTTTTTTTAGCAACATGTAGTTTGAAGGCACATTTATCTGTGTTTACTTGTTGCAATCGAGCTTTTTTATTGCAATACTATACAATGTTAAACTTTTGTACGGGAAACAAGAAAGATAATGATACATTACTCTCCAACACTCGAACGATATCAATTTTGATATTAGACTATAATAATGAAGCTGAAAGCAAGCTTTTAATTAATGCTGATTTGAGATTTTGTACGAGATATATGAATAAAATTATACACTGTTACGCGATAAAGGTCACAACCCTTCTCTCTTGACTACATTCTTTCCTCGAATAAATCCCTCTGGTCCCGACTTTCACTGATTTTCACCAACATCGTTTAACTTTGATCTTTGTTTAAATCATCTTTTGTCTCTTTCTAGAGGTTTCACCAACGTCGCTTGACTTTAAGCTTAGTTTGTCTCTTACGAAGGAAACAGTTTTAAAGAGACAAAGGACGAATTAAGCTAAGCGTAAAGTTAAACAACGTTGGTGAAACCGGACCTAAGGCGACTGGATTAAACTAAGATCAAAGTGAAACGACGTTGGTGAAAGTGAGCATAAGAGTATCAAATCAACTGCACCACGCCAGACTTGACAAGGTGCGCTACGGCACCGTACTGAATGATATGCTGCGAACCTTCCTCGAAGTCTATCTCCTCGTTCAGCATGCCGGGCAGAACTATCCCGGTGACCTTCCGATTGGCGCGCAGGAACACGTGCGCCTGCATATTCGGCTTGACGGTAAACCTGTTGGCCTCGAATCGCTGAAAGTTGGGCGGCATGTGCTGCAACGCCACCGTCTTGAAGAGCGTCTCGAGATTGGCCAGGTACTCCTTGGCGAAGTGCAGCTCGCCCGGTGTCAGGTAGGCCTCCTCCGGGCTCCGGTTCTCCTCCTCCGACAGGATGTGGATCGTGTACCGCTCGATCTTCTCCAGGCGTGTGCGCAGATAGCTACTGATCACGTACCTGATCCGATCGAGCTCCATCCGGTGGACCAGCGCCCGCAGATCGTTCTTGTCTAACCTCTTGATGTTCTCCTCCATGTGCGCGATCTGCTGCAGCATGCAGTCAACCAGGTCGGCCTGATGCGGCAGGATCTCCGGCGCGAATCGCTCGTTCACCCAGGCGTTCTCGATCTCCTCGAGCGCCGTCTGCGCCGTCAGCTCGTCCCCGTCGTCCAGCAAATTGTCCTCGAGGCTCTCTTCCATGACTGTCGGTCACGGTAGCCGGTTAACAGCGTTCACGCGCGAGAATAGCGTATTTTGCTCAGTGTTTTCACTTTCGTACCTGTCGTGTCGATCCTCTTCGAGAATATCTGTCCTTGATGCAAATCATCACGATGCTATCGCCGATCCATCATATGCGAGGGAAGGCATGTGGCCAACCGCTACGTTCTCGAGCCATTTTGTAATCGCCTCCGAATTTCCCACGTGACTGTCTCGAAGTTAGTTGCGAATTTCGATCTCGTTATCGATCACGTTTGAATTTAACCGCGTCTCGTTCAAAATCCAATTCTTCTAGTTCTACTAGTCATATATAAAAATATTATATAATTATATAAATGTTTTACATAATTATGTGTTAATTAAATAATTAAATATAAATTCTTTATGTATAAATTATACAGTAAAATTCATGAACCGATATAAACTTGTTATAAGTTATTTTAAAAAAATTGATCAAAATGTAATAAAACTTTCTAAAATCTATTCCCCTCGTCTTACGTAGACATATTTTTATCTAAATCTATCCTTGAAACCACATATAAAAGAGATTTATAATTAAAAGATATATAACAATTATTATTCTTATTCGAATAATTGAGATGGTATTAAAACAAACTGATTCTTCACCAGTTGGAAAAATTTGTTAAAACTGCCGGGAACCGTCGATTCTGGTAAATCTGTATCAACGAACGATCTTACACGTTCTATTCTTATTGCATCCTCGTAAGGTTTCTGTGTGCGACACTCAAGGTACTCCCAAGGTATTCCCAAATCCTGCGTAATCTAATAGAGAACTTCTTAAGGCTGTTTGGCGACTTAGAAAGGTGCTGTATATAGTCGCAAACACGTAGGAACGCGGCGCATATTTAAGCGCGGCACGTCGTCGCGGCGAATTTTGAGCCGCAACCGATGGTGGACCGAACAGGGAACTCTACCTGCCAGCGTCTTCACGGAAAGACCGTTACAAGAAATCACGCCGGCCATAGCGATTATTTGGATTAGTTCGTTCACCACGACGATTTTATCCAAGTAGCGCGAACAGAGGTGAGCGGCGCGATTTTACGTTTATCTGGATCTACTTTTCCAAGCGTGATTACCTGCAATTTAAGGAAACGTGTGAATTTGCCTGACGTGAAGTAACTTTTCATCCTTGCTTTCGTTTTTAAATTCTTTCAAAGAAGCTAGACAGTTGAGTGGCTGTAAATAGTAATAGAAATAATCGCACGAGAATATTCAATTAATATGAAGTTCATCATGTCTTCACCTCGCAGTTCATCATGTCTTTCGCATCGGGACCAAGCCATGCGGCCTACACGTGGGCGACGCAAGGAGGATTCGGTAATCAGACGGTGGTCGACAAAGTGCCGCCGGAGATGCTCCACCTGGTCGACGTCCACTGGTACCAATTCCCGCCGATGAACCCTCTGTGGCACGCGCTCCTCGGCTTCGTCATCGGCATACTTGGCTCGGTATCCGTCATCGGTAACGGCATGGTGGTATACATATTCACCACCACCAAGAGTCTCCGCACGCCAAGCAACCTGCTCGTCGTCAATCTCGCCATCTCTGACTTCCTCATGATGTTGTGCATGTCTCCAGCTATGGTGCGTACGTCGTTCTGAGGCATTCGCCAACGAGATATTCGATGCAGGATCTGTATGTTCAATTAACGATACGCACAGGTGATCAACTGCTATTACGAGACTTGGGCGCTAGGACCCTTGTTCTGTGAATTGTACGGCTTGGCGGGCTCCCTGTTCGGGTGTGTCTCCATATGGACAATGACGATGATCGCATTCGACAGGTACAACGTAATTGTGAAAGGCTTGTCTGCTAAGCCAATGACCATTAACGGCGCCCTCCTTCGCATATTCGGCATCTGGGCTTTCTCGTTACTCTGGACAATCGCTCCGATGTTCGGATGGAACCGGTGAGATGCACAAGCCTAAAATAATATTACATATCAACTACGAGCGTTATCAGGAATGTATATTTCATTTCTACAGCTACGTGCCCGAGGGCAATATGACTGCCTGTGGTACCGATTACCTGAGCAAGGACATGCTCTCCAGATCGTACATCCTGGTCTACAGCGTCTTCGTCTATTTCTTGCCGCTGTTCCTCATCATCTACAGCTACTTCTTCATCATTCAGGCCGTCGCCGCTCACGAGAAGAACATGCGCGAGCAAGCGAAGAAGATGAACGTCGCTTCTCTGCGATCGGCCGAGAACCAGAGCACCAGCGCCGAGTGCAAACTGGCCAAGGCAAAGATTCTTCCTTGTAAACTCCTTCGAGCCGACTTAGTCTCACTTGCGCGCTAGCTATAACGGCGTTACTAATTATAGGTAGCTCTCATGACCATCTCCTTATGGTTCATGGCGTGGACTCCGTACCTAGTCATCAATTGGGCGGGCGTCTTCGAGACGACCAAGATCAGCCCGCTCTTCACGATCTGGGGCTCTCTCTTTGCCAAAGCGAACGCTGTATACAATCCCATTGTGTACGGCATCAGGTGAGTCGCGGCGACCGCATTCCTTCAAATATGCCATCGCTAGAACTCTATTTTTACAGATGGAATACGATAAATTAGTTAAATTGTTTCGTACTTCTGACGACGCTGATCGTTTCTCCGTATGATTCCAGCCATCCTAAGTACCGAGCTGCTCTCTTCCAGAGATTCCCGTCTCTGGCGTGTACCTCCGAGTCGTCGGCTGGGGCGGACACGGTGTCCACGACCACCACGGTTACAGAAGGCGAAAAACCTGCCGCATAAAATAATGACGCTGTACACATCGGTTTTTTGACGATGCAATAGACTTGCTAAATGGACGTAACGTCGTTGAAATACTGTTATATTCTCGTCATAAAGAAATCGCATCATCAAGCACGAGTTGTAAATAGTTGCATTTTAAATAACGCGAGAAAGATACATCACTAACGAGAATACATTTAAGCGTGATTTTGTATCCGTAAGAGAATGTCGATTAATTGTGGTCAAAGCAAGACCTAAAAGCCAAGCCCGATATGCGAAAAACTGTAACAACGAGGGTTAAACGGTCCCGTTATAACTGTGATTCTATGATACATTGTATGGTTCGGCCGCACCACGAGACGAATTTCTCATAAATGGCTCATAGCGCCGCAGTTTGTAAATTTTATCATCTCTTGGAATACGTGGTCACTTTGGAATTAGCAAACATATAATATCGCTAAAAGTAAATTACATCGCCGTGAGACAAGGTGATGATATCGGGTCTGTAATTAATTTTATAGAATTAAATAAATTCTGCATGCAATCACACACGAGATTTCTAATCTAATACTATGCCTTCTAATCTTTTTATTACATTTTAAAATCTCCTAGCATAAGTCTTCTTAAAATAGTACACGCCAAATGATTTATTGATTAATATTCTCCTACTATAATACAATCGGCAAGTGCTTTCTATCGTTCATCCCTGCAAAGGTAATACTTAACACTTGTAGTACAAGTAGAGAATAAAAGAGAAAATCGAATGAGAATACACCAGCATATCATAGAGTTACTCCACTAAAAAAAAATATATATATGTATTCTTCTTCTTGCATAATCGGTTACGCGCAGCTATTAAAGCTTTACAAGTTACAAATTCCCATACGCGTTACATATTTATCACATAATGCGTTCAGTATTACTGATTCATCGATTTCCTCGAGAAACATACTCTAATAGTATTATATCACAATATTTAGAAACTACGATACATTGCTCTGAATTACGCTGACGTGGTCGTAGTAGATGATGTTTCTGCAACTTTCGCAGCCACGGATTGACCCTCAGTCGAGCCACATACGCAGAACGGTAACTTCTCCTTTAACGCTGCTCTATATTTTGGATGACTAAACGGAATAAGATAAACAACATTAATGCAATACAAGAACGTTAATAAATATGTATGTTCCTTAAAAATACCATTTACCTAATTCCATAGACAATTGGATTATATATAGCGTTTGCCTTTGCAAAGAGAGATCCCCAAATGGTGAAAAGAGGACTTATAGCACCGCCGAAAATACCCATATAATTGATAACTAGATATGGCGTCCATGCCATGAACCACAAGGAAATGGTCATTAGAGCTACCTGCGATCAAACGAATTTTGATTGTTTTCCAAATCATCCCACACACTTGGTATAATATAGTTAGAATCATTTTAATGCATTGCATTCTCTCTTTGTTCTACATACTTTTGCCAGTTTTGCCTCTGCACTTATGTTTTGATTATCTCCAGATCGCAAAGATTGAACGTTCATTTTCTTCGCTTGTTCCCTCATTCCTCTTTCGTGAGCAGCAACTGTCTGTTGGTTTCAAAAACACACTTACAGACACCAAATGTTTTCCAATGCTGTAACTTAAAACTGTGCTTACCGAGACGATAAAGTAATAGCTGTAAATTATAGTGAAGAGCGGCGTATAATATACAAATATCGAATACACCAAGATGTACGATTTAGAAAGCCAATCCTTGGTGAGGTAATCTGTACCGCAAGAGGTCATATTGCCTTCAGGCACGTATCTAATCGTCACAATGTAAAACGTATTAAAACACTGTGAGTTAACACGTCCTTTTAAAAAATATAATCTATCTCGATGTTACCTGTTCCATCCTACCATGGGCAAAATCGTCCATACCGAAGCGAAGAGCCAGATTATTAGAATTTCGAGTATCGCTTTCTTGATGGTGAATGGTTTTCCCGCCATACCCTGAGATTTATCCGTGTTGATTTCTCTTTCTGTTCCACTTATGTGTATATTGCTATATTAATATAGAAGCATTCTACGTACTTTCACTATAACATTGTATCGGTCTAAAGCAACAGCAGTCATGGTCCATATTGAGGCGCCACCACATAAAGAGCCCACCATGGCGTATATGTCGCACATTAACGGCCCTTGAATTAAAATTGATTTTACACGTAACACGTTATCTTTATGAAAACAATACTGAGAAAATGAAAGAGGATGAAATTTGCGTTACCTAATACCCAGGTCTCATAGTAGCAGTTGATTACCATAGGAGGTGACATGATCATCATCATGACAAAGTCCGAAAAAGCCAAATTTATCACTAGGAGATTGCTCGGCGTTCTTAGGGAGGGTGTCAACAAGAACACATACACTACGACACCATTACCGATCCACCCCATAAGTCCTAATACAATCATCACGAGGCCTAGAATTTTGTGCCACAGTGGATCCAAAGGTGGAAACTGATACCTGTAATTTCACAGCACGGTGAGGTTGATTGTGCAAAAGCGCATGGTATAGGAATATTAAATGAAGAAGTCAAAGGTGACCAGTGCGGATCGATTAAGTGCACCATATCCGGAGGTACTTTATCCACTACAGTTAGATTGTTGAAACCCATGATTTGCCGCATAGCTTGAGGTCCGTGCGTTGTTGTTAGTATATCAGCGAGTGCCATGGTGGAGTTCCCAGATAAAATGGTCGAGGTGAAATTTGTGGTGGCACTTACTGTAACGAGGGAATTCATTTTCTGCAAAATATCGGCAGGTAATTAGCGACCGTTTAAAGGTGTGACATATGTAGGTCACAGATACGCATACTTTTTGATACTGGAATGTTTCAGTGTACAACTGTCCCTGCTGGGTCTAGGTCCTGAATTCGAGGCAACTGAACAGTCCAGTTTGTAAAACATCAATGGTCCGTGATAAGAAACAGCCTACAGTGGTAACTGCGTCGTGTTCACAGTACAAGTGCAAGGAGAGACGAGTTTTCTCTTATATACCTGGCACAGAGATCCAATAAAATCATCCAATTATGTATGCAAATGTATCCCAGCCATCTTAGTATGTAACGCGCATATGTGATTACTGTCATCTATCATTTAGGATGATCTGATCAGAGTGAAACTTCACAAGTGCTGACAATAAATGTGATGTGGATAACGGCTTGGATCCGGTAGTCTTTGTAGAGAAGTCTTTTTATTTGATCCTGGACATCACACTTATACCAATTTTTATACGTATTTATACATTATTATATCTATTCTTATACGTATATTATACATTATATTTACAAATTGCCTCAATGATTATACAAATCGCAAAGAGCCTCATTTTACTGCTCTCGAGATTCTGCGAATGTGCTGGCTGCGACTCTCCTGCAGAGCTTCCTCCAGCTCTCGCGTCATGTGAAGCAAGTTAGTCGGATCGGCTTGCAGCAGAATATGTTCAATTTCCTCCGGATTGTCGGGATTCTTCAGCGACAGATCCAGAGTGACGAGTGGCGCGACTTGTTTCAACAGGGATCTCGACGCGGTCTGCAGCAGAAATAATTCAATTATGACACATAAATTAAAAACGTCGGGAGTAAAATGAGACGTACGAAGAAACCCGTTACCTGCACTTCAAACCTCCACTCCAAGTCCTGGTATCCAGGCAGTTTAAATCCAATCTCTTCCAACGAGTCCGAGACCTCGTCCTTCTTAACGCTGTACAATTTGCTCAGTATCGCTTCCTTGTCTTCCGTGAAGCCCAAGGCAACCACGGAGTCCCGGAAATCCTCCGCGCTCAGCTGCAAAACTCGAGTACGTCAATGCACCCGTTACGACAGACCTACGTCACGCACTACCGTCCATAAGGTCTCACCTTGTGCTTGCAGCTCTCCAACAAGAGATTGACCAAACCCTCCACTGAATTCTTAATCACGTCCAGCTCGACGTTCAACTTCTCTGAAACGGGACAGCTTTTACAGTTAACAATCGTCGTATCATTCCGTTGGCTACCAACAAAACTCTACTTACGCGCGGCGGCGTTGTAGACCTTGACGTTCGGACCCTTCTGCAAGTAATCCAACGCCAGTTTGCAGAAATCCTGCAAAACTACGGGAGAAATGCGCGTTATGTTTCTCTGCGAAAACCACAAAATTCACTCGTCGACCAACGACTCGTACCTGGCGACGATTGCTCGGCCAGAAACAGCACGTGCCTCTTGTGATCCGGCTTCAGCGTCAGCAGCATCCTCGCTCTCAGGCGACACACGCGCGTGTCCCTCGTCGGTTAGAATTCAGAGAGAGATGAATATCGCGTGATAACTAACATCTATCCGACGTTGGAACGGCTGCAAATACTTTCAAGACGGGCGGCACGACGTCCGGCGCCATGTTGATCTTCGGTGCTACGCTGATGCATTCGCGCGTGCGCGGCGGGAGTTTCAATGTTCATACAATTTAAAATAATCATTTCCTACGCCGATCTCTTTATCAACGTAGACTAACTTCAATCCAGGTTTGACTTGTTTAAAAAATAAAGGTCACTAGTTTTAAGAATTAGAAAAAGACAAAAAGCAAATTAATCCTTTCGTGACCAATTTTCTTTTCAGTAATAGAACGTTTGCTAAAGTCTTTTTAAATTTTGCAAATAGGACTCGTGTGTCCCAATGGTCACGCAAGAATCGAACCGAAACTGAAGTTAATTTGCATCGATAAAAATAGAGACGAAGGCGATATTTACGATTCAATTTTATATTAAAAATTGTTTTAAATCTAGACACAAGCAGTCACAATTAATTACAGTTTTAACAGCTTCGTAACAGACTCTACGATCAATCCCAGGCGTAAGACTCGCGAACTTTACCAGAATCCGTTAGAGAGTTTATTTTATTAGGCGATTGCCTCGTTAGAAAGCAATCGTCTTGTTATTAATCGACGTAGGCATCGATTCCGAAAGGGGGAATATTTTGGAAAGTTTGTACAGCTTTTAATTTACATAAATTGCACTTGGACGATCATAACACATAGCCGTGATTTATATTAATTATCGTCTATTTTATGCGATACGAATAAATGAAACAAACGCAACGCCCGTGTATCAAATGACGAGGCTATATGAGTAACAATGTCGCTTAAGCGATTATCGTTAGAATTATTGATTATGCAATTGTGACAATTCCATGAAAGCAGCGATCTGTACAGTATTAAGATTTCGGTTGGTTTGTCGACGCTTTAATCTGGGCCTGCTGAAACGCCTGCTGCAATTTGTCTATGACACCTCTCTGCGAGTCCATCTTCTTGTCCAGGGTGGACATCTGATCGTCCACGCGTTTCCTGAAATTCGTCACGTCGCACGTGAATCCAAAAGCAAGCCCGACGGGCACGATTTACAATCGGCGAAACTCACAGCTCGGATTTGATGTAAGACATGCGCTTGTCGACATTCCCCTTGGCCATGCAGAGCTCTTGCTTGACGAGCACGGGTCCTATCAGCTTGAACACGTCGTTCTCCTCCTTCAGAAGGTCCAGCTCCTTCTTCACCATGATATTCTCGTTCAGCTGTCCATCCAGCTGTTGCCTCTGGCTCAGCGCCTTGTTGTATTCTGCAAACACGACGGACAGATGAAAAATAATGCGACAAACGGGGAGCGATTTGCTTTGCTCTCCCGAAAAGCACCGAACGGCCTCTTAACCTTTTTGAAACTGCCTCAGCGTGTCGGCCTCGTTCTGAAGCTTCTTTTGTACTTCCTCCACCATTTTCCGAGAGGTATTTCTAACTGCGTCGAGAAACGAGCCGCGGTGAACTTATTTTATAAAGCGCACCGTTCAACAACACCGGAAACTCGCGCGAAGACGCAATCACAGCAAGAACCTCGCGGACATAACCAAATTAGTATTTGGCTCTTGGATCGTATCGTATCGTCTCGCGCGATTCGATATATCTCGACTGCTTCCCGCGATTCGATACAACTCGATTGCTTCTCGCCGTTCGATCCGTGCGCGAGATTTAAATTCTCGCGCGCGCGAACCAATTGACTTGCCGTCCGTTGTTATCGCAACGAAGATACGTAATTTCAAGTTGGCTGGCGTTTCGATTTTTGCACGTACAGATTTCACGTGCGACTCGCGCGAGATATCTGTCTTGCCGGTTAACCGAGTATGAATCGCGAGGATTCAGCGATCACGCGCCGATATCGACCGCTAATTATTCACAGATCGCGGTTTCTTCCCGTACTCATCGCGTACGCGTATCGAGAAAGAATAGTACGATATGCTGGCCGCTAACCGACCTGTTCGACCGTCGCCGCATGAATCCTCAGGCACAATGAGAATAGACTGTTTTCGACCGAAGCGTTTACGGCGCTACGTTTTCTCTCGGAACCGATGCTCGGCGTTCTACGCCCGAAATTCCGAGAATTTTAGCGACTGATAAACGTCGGAGTGCTCCTTTGCATTCGAGCAAGCGAGAGAGAATGAGATAGAAAGGGAGGAAGAGCACTCCGACACTGTACTTAAAATTACTACAACATTTAAATATCTTAGAAGCGTAAAATTGATTATAAGTCGACGACTAGTCAATTGTAAATGAAATCAATTGTAAAATGATGACTGCACGCAATTTTAAATGTTAGAAAAATATTTAAATTGGTTAAGAAAGAATATTTTAAATATATAATGAATTGTTGCATTGTTGTATCCGAGAAGCCTCACGCGCGAGATTTAGATTCCAGCGCGCGTGAGCTAGTCCCGATTTTATTCCAGCCACTTCGATTGGTTGAATAATTTTTCTGCCACAGTCATTTCTTTGAATTACGCTCTAGTATTGTAGGTATCGACACTCCATTCAAAATTCTCGATAACTCTTTAAAAGATTTAAACTCTTTTCTCACGTTCGATGAGCTTTTTTTCAGAGAGGATATTCAGCAATTATCTTGCTCACTATGCACCTGTACACTTGCTTGTATTTCAGCGATGAGATTATTCCGTGAATTAAAAATGCACAAATTTCTCCGTTTATCCTCGCAAATTTATATAAATGTGAAATGCAAAATGACACCACCGTGACACGCGTTAAATCCTGTTTCGTCGTTCACGATTTCGGCATTTATCAGGACACGTATTTCGTGCAAATTTTCACGATTGTCGTAATGTTCGCAGAATATTAAGACATTTGTCTTACTATGCCGATAAGTAACAATATCAAGGATAGAACATTACGTCAAGATGAAATGTTTGCCTACTGCGACACTTCGTCATCTTTTATTACCGCACAATGTTGGAAATAAAAGCGAGTAGCAAAAGGAAGAGATGCGCGCGGTCGAAGTTACATTGTTGTCCATTTTGCGTCGCGATATTGAATACCATAAAATATACTTCCGCAAATTTTCCGCGGTCGTTAAACAGTTTGCACAGCCGCCGGCGGAATGTTACAAATGCCAGTACTCATACAAGTACGCATAAAAGCGCAGAACGTACTTATAAAAGCTCGCTGATAATTGCGACACTTGGTCCCACGTCTATCAGTTTCCTTTTGCCGATTCGTATTCCTTTTGTACATGATGAGGACGATTTTAACGATACTTGCAATTTTCTTTGTACGATATGCACATTCACGTGCCGCGCCTGAACCGTTTTTCCGTAACGATGACGACTGTTCCTTCGGCGTTAAGACGATATCACTCTTAGTGTACAACAGGTAAAAAAAGGCGCGAATGTCTATTTAGGTTTTACGCTTATATCTATCGCTCTTTCAGTAATAACAAAGGCCAAAATATGAGCATAACCGACATGTGTAATAATGTCAAGCCATCGCAAAAGGTTGCCTTTTTAGTCCATGGCTTCGTCAGCACCGTACAAGCGGGCCATTTTAGAAGCCTGGCCCTTCAATTGGCAGAGGTAGATACCACATAGTCGCATGTGTAACTAGAACGATAACACAATGCTTCTAGAAAAGACGAAATTCTTATTTCAATACGAGAGTATTGTGAACGTAATGGAAACAAGTCAAGAATTGATAAAGCAACTTTCTGATAAAATTGATCAATTCTTGACACAGTCGAGCATTTGACAAGATAATTTCCTACTTTTACAGAAAGGCTATACAGTATTTGCGGTGGATTGGTCTCAAGGAGCTTGCACTACTGGGCTCGCCGTTTTGAAGTTTATGGAGTATCCCGATGCGGCGAAGAACACTCTTGCAGTAGGTCAACACGTGGCAAGGTATAACTACTTAAAAAAAAAGATGAATATAAAAGTAATATTCATAATTAACATACATAATATCGTTAATATATAAGTAGCACTCAATACTAAAATAGATCTTACATGTATCGAAGATGCGATGTCCACGACTGATATATTTGATCGGATTATCTCTTGCAGCTTTGTCGAGAAACTGATCAAGGAGTGCGGAGTTCCGTTGGAACAGATCACGTTCATCGGCCACAGTCTTGGCGCGCACGTGTGCGGCTTCGCCGCGAAAGAAATTCGAAACAGGAAACTCGGCACAGTTTCGCTTATTATTGCCGCCGATCCCGCCAATCCAACGCTCGGTTGCAAGGATTGCGACGACAGACTCTGTCACACAGATTGCAGCTGTCTAAAAGTCGTTCACACGTCGACTCTTGGAATGGGGAAAGCTCTAGGTCACCTAGACTTGCAGTTCAATAATGGAAATATGCAGCCAGGATGTTGTAAGAGATGAATCGCATTTAATTATAACATACGGAGAAACGTTGAATGTCGCTAGAATGATAGCTAGAAGAAACGATAGAAAGTTATAAATCAAACAAATTTGCATTTTAGGGGCGGATTTAAGTCAAGCTTGCTCGCACGGCTTATCTGTCAAATATATAGAAAATGCGGCGGGAAATACATGCGTATTCCCTGGAGTTCCTATAAAGTAAGCTCCTTCCTTCGACATGTTTCAGCTCGATTCAATCTCTATAAGTGTCCCTGCCTCATTATATCAAATTTACATCACACCTTTATAAGATATTGCATGTATTAATGTCACTCCCTTTTCTTTTGTTTTCAGAGAAAAGCTAGGCGTTTTCGACAGGTATAAATAAGACATTACTTTATATACAGATTCCTTTTGATAATTTCTGACAATTATTACTTAATTTAATGCTTATTACTTTTTTTTCAGAACACCCCCTTATCCTGCTGATAACGAAACGAATTGCATTATCGTGAACGAGAATTTACTGGATCCCAGCTGTTCCATAAAGGGACAATACTATGTATTCGTGGACAGTAAGACCTACTGTACAGAGAATCCCCCACTGAATTGCCAAAAACAATAGTAGCAAGTTATTGAATTTATGAAACGTTAATCTCGCAACAATAAAAATAAAATTTTACAATAGACATTTGTAAATGAGTAATTAAAATACATCGTTCTAGCATGCAGATCTTTCTTTCTCAAAATCTTTGAGCCATTACCGATGAAAAAAAAACGAACCATTGTAATTGATAAAGCTTATTAAACTAACAATAAGTGATGGACGAAAAGACGGAAATAGAAGTATCACAGGCATTTCATTGCGCATTATCGTATATTTCTCGATTATCTTACTGAATTAAATTTTATATATATAATAATTATAATTTTTTATTATCTCATTCGTTCTCTTGTGTATGCGACGTTCTTTCGTTATTCGCCTTTAAAACGACAGAGATACTTTCGATAATCATCTGCCACGGGAATAACTATCGTTCAACGTAATTCGCGTCGTATGAACATCGTAGTATATCGCTCAGACGTTTCTCTCGCATCATTTATCGTACATCGTGTGTTAATATTCCCTCTATCTTCCTTTCTTTTTATCTCACCTCGCATTTGCAATTAAAATACATTGTCGCGTTGTTAATGTTTTTTTTTCGAACAGCCACCTGTAGTTTTCCTTAATCAATAAGATCGACATCTTGTCGCGAGAGTGGAAATATCGCTATTCTCTCGGTTAACACAGACACTCCGTATGGACATAATCTGTATGACCTGTGTATTCAATCAATTTAATTCACAACTCAAAAGATATTCGTTAAATAGATAATTCTAATCCTTAGTCTTGCTTTTCTTAATAACAAGTCCGCGTCCTGCAATATCACAATGTGATGGCGCACGCCAACAACGCACTCGAAGAAAATTTATTTGTGCAAAGATAATAAAACTCCATGTTACTTTACTGTAATGACAATAAAATCATATCGCGTTATATGCTGCTCAATGATAAAAGAACTGTATGAAACTGGATAAAACATCCCAATTACATTACATTTCAACGCGATAAAAGCAATATTATAAAGTAGCAAAATATGTATAAGACGATTCAGTTTCGCGTACTATTAGGTACATATATATATATATACAGAGTTGGAAAGTTACTTTATAAAAGTATCTAGTTACAGTTACAAGTTATCAATTCTGAAAACTAACGCGTTACAGTTACAGTACAACGAATCGTTACTTTGTAGTTACTTTCTTGCGATGAAAATAAAAATGTCCATTTGAAATCAAATCTGCATTTTAATTGTAAAGTGTCGCTAAAGGCGTTTATGCGCAAATGCAAAGCCTAATGCGATGCGGAGATGTAAAATATATATAAAGTAACTATTAATGTAACTACTAAATTAGTTATTAGTTATCGAAAAATGTAACTGAGTTAAGTTACAGTTACAGATAGAGAGAAAGTAACGAAGTTAAGTTAGAGTTACCAAAAAAAAGTAAATGTAACCGTAACTTCGTTACAAGTAACGAGTTACTTCCAACCCTGTATATATGTATATATATATATATATATATATATATATATATATATATATATCTATGTGTGTGTGTGTGTGTGTGTGTGTGTGTGTGTGTGTGTGTGTATCAATTCTTTCGCTATAACAATAGAGTTTTTAATATATCCGATAACAAAATTTTAAATTTAAAACACATCTTTCAACGATGAAACATATAAAATTAGATAATATTTCAGGAAGTTTTATTACATTTGCATTCCAAGTTTTATAGCTGCATTTTTTCTTTATCTTCCAAAATCTATAAACACAGGGTATTAATTTTCCATTTCAATATGTTTCGAAGAAAATAGTGTTTTGATAATAAGAGTTTAGAAAGGAAATGCATTTATCATCACTTCTTGATATCTTAATCATTCATCCGTTTAATATTTCATATCCTACATAAACTTCGCTTATAACGATAGTCAGACTTAATTATGACAAATTTTGCTATAATTCAGAAATTAATATCATGAGGAAGATGTATTGACGTATAATCTTCGTTTACATCGAGGAGTACGCATTAACTCATATTTTATTCCGATATTTTATTCAAGTAAATATTCGCACAAATAAATGGAGATTGGAAATTAAACGTTGATATAGAAGCGTTAGGAAAACGTACATTATCGACTGTCGCTTTTTTTTTGTTTCTTTCATTTGCTGGATTTGATCTTGCCACGTCTGGAAACATTATGACGCCTCGACTCGTTCGCCTCAAGCATTAGACTTATAGGTCTGCAATATAGACGGCCTATGTATCTCGATACCGCGCATTATAAGATATCTTTTTTTTGTTCTTTTCATTAGTTTGCACGGAGCTTGATCGCGATCAACTTACTTTCGATTTCGGATCCTGCAGAGATGAGCTTGGTGTGCGGTTGTGCGGTTGTGCTCGGCTGTGGATTATTCAACTGTCCCGCGGTTGTGGGTGCAGCAAAGCCAGGAGGTGGTTGCATCGCCCAATGCTGAGGAGGTGCGCTCTGCTCCTGCGCACGGAAGGTGAATTGTTCACGTTTGCATGCATTGTCGACACAGAATATATTCCGTGTAGAATCAATAAGATGCAATTCACATTTTATGGCGAGTAACAAAGAACAATTACCTAAAAATGTACAAAACAAGGGAAATTTCGTACCTGTTGCGCGTTGTGAGTCACAACGTGAGAAGGATGAATGTGAGAAAACTGCCAAGCGTTGGTAGTTTGGAATGGAAGAGGTCTAGACGAAGTAACTATAGCCGGATCAATCGAGGTCCAATCCGCGATAGGTCCGAAATTGTTCCATCCTTTCTGGTGCAACGCTTGATGGTGGAACTGTTGCTGTTGTTGCTGCTGCTGCTGCTGCTGATTGTTAATCTCACACCAATCTTTCAGGGTATACACCGCGTCGCCCGTGCACTTGCCGATGCCTGTACGGAAAATTGATCCAATATTAAGCTACAAGTATATTAAAAATATCCGAATATGAAAGATTAACAAGTAGAATAATTACTTTGTGTGTTGAGAAGCGGGCTTCCGTTTGGAAGATATGCACTCTGCTGAGGTGGCTGCGCTCCTACAAACATAACGTTGGACGGATGTTAATAAATCGCGAGCAGCAATGTTCCATCAATCTAAATCTACACGATCGTGTGACTCTTTGTAGACCGATAGAGATCTCTACGGGTCTTTTTACTTTCTTGTCTAAAACCGCGAATCAACCATTTATTTTCGTGTCTACGGCTACGACAGATTATCGTATACGTATGTAAACTTCACGCACTGTGCACTATGATTCCTGATGCCTGATGGAAAAATTGGAGGAACACTAACCAGAGAGGGCACTATTCGTTGGTGCTGGTCGTGGTATACCGAGACCGAATGAGTTCATGTGATTTGGCGTGGAACCCGGAAAACCCGGTGGCGGGAGTCGACTGCGCTGTCCTAAGCTGGTGGCCGTCACAGTGCCCTGTGCTGGGCTCTGCGCGCCGCTTGGTAACAGATTTTGCGGAAGACGGGACAAGAGGGAATGCGACTGAAGCACCTGTAGATTTTGCAAGTGCTGAGCTTGTTGCTGCAAGTGTGCTATGTGCGCAACCTAAAACAGTATTTGTCTCCGTGAGTCTCATTTAATTTGCGAATGCATCTATCTGTACAGTACTAAATTATACAGAGGGTTCCCCTAAAATGTGTAGTCAAGTTTTATTAAATGTACTTTTTTTGGTTAATACTCGTACTAAGAAATCAAAGTATTCTTTTACAAGATTTCGATGAGGATATTTACTTGTGGAAAGTGTTGTTGGTTAAGGCTCACGAGCGTTTGTTGATGCTGCACCCTAGTTTGCTCCTCCCGTTCTCTTTGTTGCTGTTGCTGCTGGAACATCTTCTGCTGTTGTACTTGCATCTCGTCTTCTAAAAGTTCTGCTAATGCTTTCTGCGTTTCGTGGAAAGGATCGAAACCTAAATCGTCGTCCGCTTTCACGTCTGAGCCTGCATCACGATGATTCCGGACTTCTTCCATTGTAGCGTGGCCGTTCTGCTTTACGTACTCACAGTTTTCTTGAGTTTGTTGCTGCGCCTTTGAAATGTTATTCTTAACATTAGCAACATGGTGATACGTTTCTTGTCAATAAGAATTTTGCATTTTTACAGAGAACATCGCGTTGCTTTTTCTAGGCATATAATTTGGGAATATAATTTTATAATTACTCCGCTCACCTGTATATTAAGCCTTTGTTGTAATGAATTTTGTTGAAAGTCTGCCATAAACTTAGATGCGGATGAATTTACAAGTAAGTTAGACGTGAAGGTACCAGATGATGGTTCGGCGAGTGTAGCAGTGTAAGGTGCATTCATATAAACCTCCTCCTCTACAAAACCCTCGGAGTTGAACGTCACCCTTGGCGAATCAGTTGGGCTAGATTTTGATATTATGTGGTTCGCTCGAGTCGATTCCGGCTGGAAGCCGAAAGCGGCTTGCCAATCTTCGCTAGAATGAACTGTCGGCAAGGAATCGGGTATCGTAGCCACTCCCGTGCTCGTCCAATCTAAATTTGTATTTGCTACATGTCGAAGGAAAATTCATTGAAAAGTCTTTTAATGATGACAATAACATATAAACATTTTTAACGTAGGATAAATGCACAGGGATAAGTCTTAAAATTTTTTAACAGTGAGCTTATTGGTGGTTTATTCACATCAAACCTCAGTAATGTTCGGATGTGCGCTTATTTTTACCTTTTGACTCTATCTCACGGATGGCCATTGCTCGCTTGTCTACGAATTTTTCTTGTTTTCTTATTTGCATTGTTACTTGAAAAGAACCTGAAGTCGAAACGTTGTAACGAATTTAATAAAATTTGCCAGTTGGGTAGACAATAAGCTCGCTACTTTAATTTTTAATCATCACTGGCGACTATAAGTGACATTTGTCTTTCGTCTTAAAATTTTTCAGTAATTGTTTCTCGTAATACTTTTTCTTTAAGTAAAATAGAGTTTTTCTTTGAAGAAAAGCTAATAATAGTAAACACAATAGTAACAAAGGTACAGAGTTTATACATGCCTGTGAGGGAATTTGGTGGCATCGAGGTGGTGGTTGGTATTTTCTGAAAGGTATTCGAACTGAAGAAACTGTTATTGTCCGCCTGAAAGATCGACCGATGGTTGAGTTGCATTTGAGATCCGTTGTGTAATCCTGGTGGTGGTAGTTGATTGGCACCTTGTGATGAATTTGTGCTAGCTGGAGACGAACCTACAGATAATACGCAAAAATCTCTATACTACACGACGCGGTCAAAATCGTTTCTATACTCTTATAATGCCAGAATAAACAGCTACTCAATTCAAGTCTCTTGTCGAGAAGCGTTTACATACACGTCACACAAAGAAAGTTACGGCAACAAGAATGTCTTTTTAGACGTTAAATTATCAAAACGGAGTAATTCGTGTAATTTTGAAAAAACACCACAACGCGTTGCGATCACTAAATTTGTCGGAGCAATGTCCACGCTCGTTTTTCGTGTCCTGTAATTTCTCTCACCGGAATCTATAAGGAATACACAACATTTAAGTGTACACAAGAACACAAATAAAAAAACGGCTACTACTGATATTTTTCCAAAAATTCTCTTTATTTTGGCATCAATAAACTGTTCGGTGTGTGTTTTCTACATTATTAAAATATAAAATAATCATAAACTTTGGTTTACTGTACATTATTTAGAATGTTTGAACGAACTGTATTATTTAGTTGCTGCGCGCTCAAATTTTATAACGTACATTCAAAGGATAAGCACACTTTCAGAAAAACTCATAATTTGTTATTATGATTACCACTTTGTCATGTTACAGTTGCTACAATCTTTTCTCATTTTCAATAGCAAATTTATGATAATGCTATATATATCATCATATATATTATATATGAATATGTATTGTACAATATGTAACAAAGTTCTCAGGTTCAGAGTTTAATAATTCAGTGCCTGGAGTTCAACTTTTGTTACATGCTACATATAAACATATAAACATATATAATATGCATTGTACATATATGTATGTATATACATATATGAATACATATATATATATAAATCTATTACAATAACACTTTATTCAAATAATTCATCTGCGCAACCACATAAAATAACCAATAAAACTTATCCTCTGATAACGACAGTAATGGCAAATCATAACTAATTAAAAAATAATCATACAAGTGTTATTATCACGTGAAAATATAATGTAGATCTGTGATTAACTCACTCAAAACAAATTAAATCGAACAAAACAAATTAAATCAAAATAGTTTCATAGCGTAATTACAAAATAAATCAAACCAAAATGGTAACATATTCGACGTCCTATAAAGTTTAAAACTTCGCATCGTAGAATATGTCGGAGATTGGTACAAAAAAGCCAACGTAAGCGATAAAAGTGAGAACAATTAGGGCAAAGAACTCACCCAAAAGAACAGCACCACTGCCACTGTTTTCCTCGCTCGATTCAACCAAATGTTCGGCTTGATGATTTATATTAGAGTCTTCCGTGCTCGAGATCGTGCTCGCTGGCGTGCTACCTTCGCGCTGTTGATCCATTTCACTGTCCGAATGCCGGCGTTCCCCGTTTTGAAATGCACCATTTACATTAACTTCGTGAGACTGTAATTGAACTAATTTTGATGTTTTGTTGCTAATTTGTGGTTGTTGTTGCTGCTGCTGCTCCATTTTACACTTGTTACCCAATTTTTGCAACATTTCACTGTTTGTATCAGCGGAAAAGTTTCTAACGTCCTTTTGTCCGGTAATTTGCGATTGCGAACCACTTTGCGTACTGATTGAGCTTGATTCAGATCGCGACGTCGGACGAGTACCGTGCTTCTCTTTGTTTTGACTATTTTTATGTTTGTTCCGAGCTGCCTGTGCTTTACTTTCGCTATTACTTTTACCCCGCCGTACACCCACACCACTTTCACCCTTATTGTTGTTGTTTTGCTGATGCGTAGGCACTCCGGAGGACAAATGACATTGTTGAGCAACCGTACCGTTTCCGCTTGTTACGTTGCCGTGTTGTGAAGTTGTTTGCGCAGGTGGTGATATTTCTTTACAACTGGTTTGTGTACCTGAAAACAAGAAAACGTCGATACATAGCACCGGGAATCCTTGCCTTGCGAATTTCCAACTTCAAACAATGTCCTATCGTGCTGAAACACGATTTTATTTACTCACTATTCGTCTGACCCGGTTGCAACGACGGCCAGGCCTCCTTAGTCTGCGAATTTACAGTTCCACTTTCCCTAACAATACTGCCCGTTACAGGTGGTGATGGCGTCGGTTTCCTGGGAAAATGGAGATCGAAACTAGATTCACGGCGCATAACGACCCGAAGACAGTTACTGTGCGCTGAAGCCTCGTCTACAATCTGCTCTTTGCGTCTAGACACATTCTATTTTGCAGCCAATGGATACGTTCAAAAACTATGTGCAAGTTAATAAATTGCACTTGGTCGACAAACTGTTTAAGCGTATCGCTTAAACAAAATGGAATGTTTCTAATCGCAAAGAGCACATTGTACATCAGGTTTAAGACAAGGACTTGAAACATATAACCGTCTTCAGAGTATAAAATAGCCATTCTGCTGAGGCCCTAACGCAGTCCCAGAGAAACGTGTCGCTGTTACGACGAGATAAATTTCATACCGTTGAACTGAAGACGCTTGCGCATGTAACGATTGCACAAGCTTGCGCTCGTACTCCTGGTGCTTGCCCTGATGCATCTCCTCCTTCGTAAACGATGCCTCCTGGTCCCCAAGATCGTGCAGGTACATGCAATCTGGCTTCGGACAGGCTTGATTACGCATAAAGTGCGAACAGTACTTCGTCGTCCCTAACGAGGTTTTTATTGTCCGTCCATCCACGATAATGTTATTCACAGCCTCTATAGCACGTAGCGCATCCTCTTGACGCTGTTGAGAACACGAGGAACATCATTGCTAACAAATACTTGTCACATTCGTTTGTCGTCTGCGAGACGAGGGAGGGGAAAAACACCCCCCCGTCGGGCTTCAAGAGGAAGGGCGCGAGTACTCACTTGATAAGTAACATAAGCCGAAGCACTGGGGCCTTGAGACCCTGCATAGGAAGTACTCTGGTTAATTACGACTTTGTGTATCTTCCCAAATTTCCCAAAATAATCGTGTTTCTTTAAAACCTAGAGCATGCGAAATATTATACGTCGTGATCTCCTTCGTTTCTTTCTAAAGGTATACAGTGTTAGCGGAGCTCTTCGCGCAATCGATCGGACTTAAAGAAACGCTCGTTTGCCGGCGTGCATACTCACATCAGCGTCTGCCAGCCGCATTGGTAATCCTACTACAAACACTAAATTTTTTTGTACTACTCTCACGTTCGCTAGATGTTTCCGATTTTCTGTAACTCGCTGCTTCCGCTGCTGATCCTTCAATCTCTTTTCGGCTTTCAATCTGAAAGAAACCGAGCGGGATAGAGCTCGTTCGGGTTGGCGATCTCTGCGACCGGGGGTCCGTTTCACCGCGGCCGGCCGAGTCGACTTGGGTATAAACAACAGATTCGGCGAGTACCTTACTACGTCTTCCTTGGAAAGGGGTTTAAAATCAGCCGGATTTTCAGAATAGGCCTTTCGACACGCCGGACAGAGGCCGTTCTCGTCGGTACGGATTCTGTGCCAACAGAAACGGCATATCTGGTACCCGCAGGTGCACGGGAAGAAATTCAGATCGTCCACCTCCAACGGTTCCATACACAGGGGGCACTCCACCGCGTCGTCGCCGCTCTGATTCAATACTGACATCTTTCGTCCGGTGAACGTCACGAGACAGCAAAAGATCACCAATGTCTGCTCCACGTGCCAGAGACTGCAAAACAAAAGCACGACGGTGTCACAAGAGCCGTGGGGGGTGGCGGCAAGTGCGCGCGATTAACGATTAACGCCACTCGCGGTCCCTCCTCATCCTTAAGGCTCCCGGGACGTCGCGCCGCGGATCCCCCAGGTCGCCGCCTCGGCTCTCACTTACATGACAAACTCGTCACCACGCTGGTGATTGGGTAATTGACACAGTGCTCGCAGGGCTTCACTTCACGCCGCTACTTCTCGTCCGATCTGAAACAGATGGGCGCAACCGTTAGCCATCCGCGTACGGGCCGGATTTACGTCGCGCCTCGCGGGAGGAGGCGGCAGGAGGAGGAGAGCGCGTCTCTCCGTCCCGTCGTCGCCGTCGATCGCGAGGCATCCTCCGTCCCTCTCTTTCTCGCGTGCGCGCGCGCGCGCGGCGGGGGGGGCAGGGGGGGGCGAGAGACGGCAAAACGTAAACGTGGACACGCGCGCGCGACTCTTACGCGACGCAGAACGACCAGACATCGAGGCCGCTGTCGGGGACCGTCCGTCCGCGCGCTCGTCCTCTCGCGGGCCCGCACTCCCACGCGCGCCTCTCTCCGCGCTTATCAGATCGAAACAGGTGCGAGCGGGCGCGGGGTGGTCCGGGGCGGGGGGGAGGGGGAGGGAACGGGAGCGACCCGGGGGTGACGAGCGGGCCTACGCGGAGGCGAAAGGGCGACGACAGGTCACGAACCGCGAGTTCCGTTTTGACAGGAGCTGTCAGATCGGCGCGAGGGAAGGAAAGGAAGGAAGAAAGAAAGAGAGCGCGCGCGCTCCTCTCGCGGGAGGGGGCGAGAGAGTGGGAGGGAACGGAACGGCGGCGGGGGGAGGGGGAGGGAGGGAGAAAGAGAACGAATGGCGAGAGGTGCAGCGAACAAAGGAGACGTGCACACCGGAATTCTCGCGCGATTACGCACGAGGGCCTAGGTTTCGCGGAGGGCGGGAGGGGGCGCGACGCCCTACGCACCACGGAGGGTCGACGACGTCCCCCCCTCTCTCTCTCGCGCGTGCGGCTCCGCCGCGGAGTCGAGGTGACGGGAGTTCGTTCTCACCGTGCGTCGTGACGTCGAGGTCGTCGACGACCGATCGGTGGGAGGGGGGAGAGAGAGGATTTCTCTAGAAAAATCCTGTTCACGGTACTACGAGGAGAGGGCCGCCGTCTCCTCTCTCTCTCTCTTATTTCTGTTCTTTCTTTCTTCCTCGCTCTCGCTCCGTTTCTCACGCGTCCGTCGGTCTCAGTCTTGTCTCTCGCGCACGGAGACGAAAAGCGCGTACCGTAAGCACGAGAGGGCGACGATCGGGCGAAACAGCTGTTGGTAGCGTCCGCGAGAGGCCCGGCGCGAGGGCGAGCGCGAGAAACGTCAAGCGGGCGCGGGCGCGAGAGAGAGAGAGAGAGAGAGAGAAAAGGTTCCGCTGGCTACGCCATAACAGAGAGGCCTACGCGAAAATCCGCCGCGTAGGCCGGCGTGGCGCGTGGTGGGGCATGACACGTAAATTCCGTGTCTCTGTCCTCTCTCTTTCTCGCTCGCCTCCTAGGCCACGAGTACGCAAGGACGACGATTTGCGTTTCGCGGACGGCGGTCCGCGCGAGGGGGGAAAATCCGCGACTCGACTCGGTCGACTCGGGTGTGGGCGAGAGCGAGAGAGAGAGAGGCAGAGAGCGCGCGGGTGGTCGAGAGGGACGCGGGCAGGGTCGCGGGAGGGGATGGACCACAGACTTCT